TTGCTAATACTGGTGGCCTAGAGCAGCAAGTTATTCCATGAATGAAAGCATTTGGTAATAGCTCTAGAGATGAGGGATGAGGATGAGAGGACAGGCCAGGATGGGCTGAGTCTTTCTTTTTATAATCAGTGGTCGTAAGGCCCTTCAAACCAGTGGCTCCTTCATGTTTTCTCCTTCATGCAATCAGAAGCCCACCTTCCCACTGGACAGCTTCCCTCCACTGACCTCAGGAAGCAGAGGATGAATAGGAGCAGCCAAGCTAATTAGAGGATTGAAGGCAGGGTCTTTGTCATCCATGATGAAAGAGAGGTGCCTCTTGTGATGTGAACTATACAGCCTCTGCCTCCCCTAGCTGGTCCAAACCTCAGTGGGTCAACGCTGACCCTTAACCAGAGGTGGGTGAACAGAGCCCAGCACATTTACAGTAAGGGTAGATGGAGTGATGGCTTATAGATACTGAGAAAATCCATTACTTACCCTCAGATTAGTCTTAATGGCAGTTCCTGAAGACTGTCTTTTCCTTTAAGGTATAGGACCTGAAGAATTCTACTCTTAAATTAGCTGTCCCAGCTGTCAGTCTTATAACTCATTCCCAAATTATGAAAGTCCACTACATTTTCCAAAGATGTAATGACTCCCTTTTATTCTGTGTGTCTTGGCAAGGTATCTGAGAGGTCATCTTAGAAAATGAAAAAGAGGTAAAAAGCTTCATCCTAGAATTTGTTTCCTCCTCAGACAGGCTGTGCTTGCCCTGTGGAAATGAGACAATGAATGAGAAGGAACATCAGATGCTTCTTCCATCAGTCCCGATTGGGACTTAACAAGGTGTGCCCCACTGCTCAGGTTCCCTGACCCTTTGAAACTTCTCCCAGTGCTGAATGAAACTCCACTTCTGTCTGTTCTGGGGAACCCAGCCAGGGCCCAAAGAGGGGACGCTTTGTATTTCCAAATACGAGCTTCTACATTTAACAGCTATGTTTAACTTTGGACAAGTTACTTAACCTCTCTAAGCCTCAGGTTTTCAACTTGAATGTAGAAATTGTAATAGGAACTGTTTGATTGAGTTGCCATTAGGATTGAGTGGGATGATACATACATACCTCTTTGCACAGTACCTGAGGTTAATAAATATAGTGCTCAATAAATATTAGTTATTGTTACTCTTGATATCATACCAGCAGAAGAGAGGTGAGGAGCGCTCATAAACTATTTTAACCTCCCTGGATGGGAAGTCTTTCCCTTATTCTGGGTTCCTTCTGAACTATGTATCCTGTAAGTAGGTGAACACAGAACCTCTTGGGTACCTAACAAGAAGCCAGGCCACTGCTAATCAAAATCAACCAGTGAGCAAACGTTAATTGTAAGAAAGACCAGAAAGATCTCCCGTCATCTCTTGGGGCTCCTACTATTGCATTGATTAACTGTGAGCCAGAACTTTTTTTTTTTTTTTTTTTTTTTTCAGTGTCTCTCTCTGTCACCCAGGCTGAAGTACAGTGGCGCAATCTTGGCTCACTGCAACCTCTGCCTCCCAAGTTCAAGCGATTCTCCTGCCTCAGCTCCCTGAGTAGCTGGGACTACAGGCGTGCACCACCACGCCCAGCTAATTTTTGTATTTTTATTAGAGACGGGGTTTCACCATATTGGCCAGGCTGCTCTCAAACTCCTGACCTCATGATCCACCCACCTCAGCCTCTTAAAGTGTTGGGATTACAGGCGTGAGCCACAGCGCCTGGCCCAGAACATTTAAAATAATAATAATATCTGTGCCCTGATAGGTTAGCCAACTAGTTAACCTGAGGAATTTCAGCAGGGAAGGGACTGCGGAAAAACTTGGTTCAGAGCCTCAGTAGAATCTATCTTGCTCCCTTTCTGGCAGCCATGTTAGTTAGGTCTTTTGTCTGAGAAGGATTCCGTGTCCATCACTTAGGTTATCAGATGTGTTTTTAAAGGCTCCTGAGAGCAGGCAAGAATGATTTCCTTCATCCTGTTGCTGTTAAGTGGGATGTACCACTATCATGCTGCAAATCCTTTTTTGGGAGAGGAGGGTTATCCAGGCTCCATGATTCTTCTATAAAAAGTTTATAATAAGGTCCTTTAATGGCTGCGACTCTCAATATTTGTGGGAAGAAAATAACTGGAAATCTAGAACACATTCAAAATCCAAGGGCCAGAGAAAGTTAAAGCTCCAGCTCCAGCCTCAGATCTCTTGGGACCAACCCCCTAAGAACCATCCATTCTAGTTCATCTTGCAAATGGAACCCAAGAGTTGAACCTAGGCATGGGACTCATGATGTCTCTAAAGTTCAAAAACACCTGGGTTATCTGAAAGCAGACCTGGGTCCAGGTCCTGTGCTGAGGTCTCCAGTTCTCTCTAAGTAAAGGTTGCTAGTGGAGAAAAAGCCTGTGGCCTCTGGGCAGAGATTTGTTCTATAGAGAAATGAAGGAAATGTGCAACAGAGAACAGTTTTACTCTGGAGCTCCCTCTACTGGCTCTTTGGTGGAAATCCATCGCAGTTATTCCGCCCTGCCCTGTGGGTATCAATTTAGAGCACCTGAGCATCCTAGCACCTTGAAGCCAGGAGAAAAGGTGCCCTGAGATGCCAAGAAAGATGGAACTGCAAATACTGGTTTCTCCTGCTTCCTTTATAATTTCAACTAATGTTTTGGGGGTGCCAAGACAGTGCTAAGCATTTTGTATGCATTATTTCATTTAACACTCACCATAAACCCACATTTTACAAATGAGACAGCTGAGACCCGAAGAGATTAAATAAGTTCCTGGTGTCACCATAGACTAGTAGACCCCCTTGGTGACTCTCATCGTTCTTATGCTTCTCCTGAGTGACAACTGAAGAGAAGAGCCAGCAGACAATGTGGGATTGGAAGTAGCATTTGTTCTCATCACCTAATATAAAGAGGCTCTGAGATTGCTCCATAAACTTCCTAGGTCTTACAGAATTTCGGCCCTGTTTTTTTAAATTTTACTTTTTTAATTTGCTTGTTTATTTATTTGAGACAGAGTCTCTGTTGCCCAGGCTGGAATGCCCAGTGGCAGCGTGATCTTGGCTCACTGCAACCTCCGCCTCCCAGTTTTAAGCAATCCTCCCAACTCAGCCTCCTGACTAGCTAGGATTACAGTTGTACACCATCACACCTGGCTAAATTTTTTTGTATTTTTAGTAGAGACAGGGTTTCATCACATTGGCCAGGCTGGTCTCTAACTCCTGACTTCAAGTGATCCACCTGCCTCAGCCTCCCAAAGTGCTAGGATTACAGGTGTGAGCCACTGCACCCAGCCTCCTGTTTTTTGGGTTTTTTTTTT